TCAGTGTTTACTGATGTTTTTAATAATTGAAAACAAGTAAAAACAAACTGAAACTGCTCGAGCACAGTTCATTTTATTTTTTTTGCTCGGCGCAGTACGCCGTTTACAGTTTTGAACGCAAACAGTGTGCGCTATTAATCTGTTTTCACTGCTCAAATTGCTACAAACAACAAGGGCAACAGTAGTACAGTTTGCAAACACTCGTCACCATAGATGTCTTTTTCAGGGCTGTTAGGGATTTGAGCCATTTTCTTCATTTTGATATCACTCACATAACTTAATTTTTTTTTAAAACAAGAATCATTTCACAAGTTTGAATTTGTCATTTCTAATCCTCCCAGACCTGGAACTTTACATAAAGGCTCAAATATATACACACAGCCCCACTAATGTTTGTATGTAGTGAAATCCTGAATAACAAAAACTTGGTTTCCTGACAAACTCGACTTTTAAGCACAGTCCTGAGGTCAGGACGATCTTAGAAAGTCAGGATCCAAAAGCAGATTATGTTGGAAAACCCCCAAGGCCTTCAAATTTCAACAGCCCAGCTGTTGATTTGAGGTGAAGTCAATGAAAGAGGTTTTAAGATAGTCTTTCACTTTTATTATTCTAACCACTTTTACACCACGACAGTGAAACAGCTTCAGAACATAATACTGCCACCAACACAAGTTAAGCTTGTGCGTTTTGCATGTTCTTCTTTGCTCTGCAGATATTAGCCATTTCCATTGACCACATAACTGTGCAAATTGAAATTACAAAATTAAATTTGCTCAAAATAAATGTGCCAATATCAAAAAACACCAACTTTTCTGATTAAAAAAAAAAAGTTAGTTCGAGTTAGATGAAAAACCACCACACTATCAAAATCAGTGCATTTCGCAAAACTGCAATGTAAAAGCTTTTTACACATCACACGAGTCACATGATCAACAACCGGATGTTACTACTGGTGGAAAAGACGAAGACAGGAAGAGGTGGAAGGACGATGGTGCATCATGTTTTTTTTAATAGCTTTTCATGTGAACACACTTATTCACGTACAATGTCTTTCGACATTAGAAGATCAACGATGTTTTGGGAACATTTGTAATGGAAGTGCAACTACTGACTTTTTTGTACAAGCATAATAAAGATTAGGATGTTGATCTCAAGAATCATAAATCATACCACAGAGCGACAGTTTGGGTCAAATCATTTTCATTTGTGCTAATTTTGTTTTCCAGCTGGACATTGACTCCAAAGTACATTAAAGTGTAACACATAATAGAAAGATGTGATGTAGAATAACCCTGTCCTCAGTGGTAATGACAACGTGTCCACTGTAGGACATTTACCAAATATGGTGTTCATATTTGAGTGTAGATAACTTTATTCTGGGCTGGTAGAAATAAGTCCAGAACAAAATCAAGCATCTGCACCCAATTCCTCTTTAAAAAACAAGTGACTGAACTGAAAAAGAACAGTTCAAATGCATCTTAAAAAGCTTCAAATTAATATGTCATGCATGCCCTTGACGACTGCATGTAAACTTGTGTTCAAACGCACAAGTTGGTTACTTCTGGCCCTCTAACCATTTGTTTCAGCTCAAATGTCACTTGGGAACTAAAATAAGTTGTTTTTTTTGCGGACCTCCGTGTGTCCTCCATGTGAGAAAAGTGGCTCCAGGAAGCACTGCCGGAGGATGTGTTGCATCCTCTTCGCTAGAAAGTCCTAGATAGAGACCTACAATCGCAGACAGAGAGTCGCGGCAATGGGAAATCACGATCTGGAGTAAAACCACGTCCTCGAGGGGAAGAGGGTGTCAGCAGGGATTGTGGTTCACGCTCTGGGCCGCACGGAACCACAAAGTCACCACAGAGACCCTTCTTTCCACTGGATCACAGGGCTCAGGCCTCATGGCCTCTCTGTGGATATCAAGTTACTAATCTTAGGGCCCTGACCAGTACTCGGTCATATGACGCTGCCCGCCCAAAGAGCAGACTGGGCTTCGCCCGGCGACACAGCCACCAGAGCAAATGTGGCCCAGCTGGCTGCTCCTGGGAACACTTGGGGGGCTGAAAAGTTTGGGATGGGGAGAGGAGGAAAAAAAAAAAAAAAAAAAGCTGAAGGTTGGTCAGGAAACAGAAAGCAGTGTGGTCAATCATGGTCGGTCAATGGCTGTCGCCTGGGACCGTTCCCTCTTCTGGTAGAATCTGACCAGGAGGAACAAAGGCATTGCGGTTGCATTGCGTATGGAGAAGAGCAGGAAACTGAGTTTTTTTTTTTTCTTTTTTCCCCCCTTTCAGATTGAGGAACACACTGAAGCCACTTTCTGGGAGGTTTTGGTCATTTACATCAGAGTCATGTCACAAAGCATCAAAACAACTCCCATCTCAAAAACAGAAACTTTCAGTACCTCCTCTTTTATATTTAGACCATCCCATAATTTGTACGAGGACAATATTGGCTTTTAAGCAAGATGGATTCTTTTTTTTGTTTTGGACTGTGAAAACAAAATCTTCAGAAGAATTTTTGTTTTAGTTTCTAAATCTTAGTATGCTTGAAATAAGACAAAACTTAAGTTTCAAGTAACTTTTCAGCAAGATATAGATTATTTCAAGTAAATTATTCCTTAATATTGACTGAAAAGTAGTGCTTGAGAAAAATGTCTCGTTATAAGTCAACTTGTACTTTTTCATCAAGATTAAGGAATTATTTACTTAAAATAAGCTCCCATATCTCACTGAAGGTACTTTATTTCAAGTGCACCAAGATTTTCTGACCTAGAAACTTGACCAAACACAGTAAGATTTCGTGTTTTTGCAGTGAGCTTCTTGAGTCAAAGTAAATGAAGTGAAGAGTAAAAACACCTGAAGTAATGAAAAGTACATCTTTTTTTGTTTCGTGTCGTTTTTGCTGCAGCGGCTCAGCCAGCCGTGACTGCTGTTCTAACGGCCACTGCCCCGCCGTGAAGACGGCATCGAGCGAAAACTTTTATTTATCTTTGTACCGCGGCCGCCACACCCTCCCCTGTCTGCACATTTGAGCCTGCTGCTTCTCCGCATCGTTACCTCACTTCTCCCTGCTTTTTTTTTTTTTATCCTTTTATTTGCCATTTCCCTCTCCCTAAAGTCCCCCCCCTTCTTCTTTCTGTCCATAAGATTCCACCGGTGTCAGACCTCCCAGGCGGTGTGTGCAGACGCAGGTAGACAGTAAGGGTGGTGCGGGGGGCAAAAAAAAAGAAAAAAAAACAAACTCTTCTCTAGGCTTCCTGACGCCCGTGATCTACTCCCCCCCACCACACACACCTTGCCCCAGGGAGGTCAGCATCATTGTTGACATTGGACACATGTTCATTGCGGTGCAATATTAAATCTTCTCATTGGATTTGGACTGTAATTATGTCGTAAAAACAAACTGGCTGTGAAGCCATGGCCCGCCAGTGTGATCTGCTTTCATCAAGTGCAGACTGGCTTAATTACAGAGTGCGCCTTACACCCATCTTTCACTGGGCAGCTTTTCCTCCAGCTTCTTTAAGCCATCACTTTTTTTTTTAACTGAGCGTTAATCATAAGGCAATTGGTCTGTTTGCTATGGCGGGGTTTGAGGGAGGGGGATAGATTTGAACGTTGGTCTCCACACATCCTGTGTATTAATGATGCAAGTCCAGAATTAAGCAGATGAATTTGACAGTTGAATCCGATCTCTCACGGTTTTTTTCCTTCTAATGGAAGACTTTATATAGTTGCTTTTTTGTCCACGCTCTAAATCTGATGAGTCGATTTCATTAAAAATGCACCGTGCTGAGGTGAACGAGCAAAAGAAATGCTTCATACTTTACGTCATTTCTCCATTGTCTACAGGAGTCAGGAGACTCAAACTGAAAATAAATGACGTTTGGTGACAAAATATTTGATTATGTAACAGTCAAATCGTTTTTTAGTCGCACTGAGATGTGATGTCTTGCTAGTGTTCATACTTCTTGAACCAGTCCATGTTTCTGCATGTTGCAAACATAAAATACAATATGCACACCAGCACAAAGTAGGGTATAGCTGAAGAAGACCTGAGAAGTGCAGGTGACATCTACTGACCCCACCCCTCTACTGTGACACCCTAAAAAAAAGCTCAATCAAGGCCAACTAAGATCAGAAATCAACCATTTAGAGCAAGGAACACTGCACTGTATGACACATGGTGGTGACTGCATTAGGATGTGGGAATGTTTTTCTTCAGCAGGAACAAGGATGCTGGTCAAATCAGAGAATACCAGCTAAACGCTTTGAGGAAAAAAACAAGAGATTTGAGACTGGGCTGTAGGTTCGTCTTACGTGAAACAGATCCCAACCTACAAAGAAACGGTTTAGGTAAAAGTTCTTCTTCCATGCTCTACAATCGCCCAATTGAGAACCTGATGGTACGTGACGTAGAGGCAAAGTAGACGCCTCATCTAAGCAGGCTGTTGGTTCTCAACACAAGTGGTTTGAGTACCAGCCTTGAGAACTCCGGTGCATGTCTTCTGTCTCTGCCCATTTCCCATCTAACTTCTGTCAATAAAGGCCACTAGCGCCACCAAACACCTAAATATGTAAATTTTCAGATGTGTTGCCATCAGGAAGTACAGTCTAGGAAACTGAAATGGAAAAGGTGTCATGAATTCCCTTTGTAAATGCTGAAATGCTTTTAACCCAATAATAACTCCATATTCAGGCATATACTCAGAAGAAGAGACGTCTACCAACAGGAAACTATGGCAGGATGCAAAAAGAGGAGCTGAAATATCAAATTATCTTGGGATTTACCCTTTTTTATGTCTTAAATAGTTGAGAAAAAGACAGAGAAGCTGGAGGGTCACATTGGGGGAATTTTCTCACTTTTGTCCTCTCTCTGCAGCCTTTTATGATGGGTTCATCTGTGTTGTGACAGGTGTGTGAAGTGGCCATCTGACTGGATGTAATTGCCACTTCTATCCTGCAGGTCACTCTTTGTCCCCTGGCTTTAAAAAAAAAAAGCCATTGGTGAGGGAAGTTTTAATGGTTGCAGCTTTAGCAGAGCAAGAACAGTCAGTTACAGTTTTGGAGTTTTATCGAATTACATAAAATTGTCCAAATCTGATTGGACAATCAGATTCCTGTTATGCAAGATTACAGAGTCCAAGAAAATTTTATTAATTTTGTTTAGAATATTGTGACCTCAGTTCAGAAACACCAATAGCATTACCAAAGAGTCACAAAGGGATTTGATTTTTGATGAGGAAAAAGGACAGAGGTTTGCTTCTGAATTCAGATATGTAGAGTCAAACATTATGAAGTACCTCAATAGTAGGTTTGATTTGTTTGAATTAAATCTCAGTGATGCTTTTGTCAAAACAATTTTAAAAAAAAAAAAAAAAAAAAAGCCACTTCTCACACTGGGAACTTGACAATATGGAGAAATCAGAGTACAACTCACAGGTGCAGCGTTTTAAGCTGTACCACAGAACATACATATACACCAGATAAATGGAGAACATTAATACTAATTATGTGGAGGCCCACTTTGAGCATGCCCACTCCCACCATCTGTGCTATAGAAATCACAATATTCAAGCTCTGCCCCCTCCAATGTGTGGCTTTGTCCTCCATTTCTTTGCATTAAACTGCAAATCCATGTGGAGGAAGTTGATGACAGCTAAGATTAGAAACCTTTAAGAAAATTTTTTTTTTGGAAGACTAGTTTACATACATTATTGCAGAGATTTTCCACAAATAATTTTTCCTAATTCAAGTCAAGTCTTACTGTAAATCTCTCAAATCAACATCTAGTCTGCTCATCATGCTACCATTTTGTGCATCAATACAAACCCATTAATTTGTCTACAGGCAGCAAATTAACACTTTAATATCTACAAAAATTACATTTAAAAAGGCATTTGAATGCCTTCACGTTGAAACTAAAATGGTCACAATGAAGCATGAGCCTTTTGAAAAGTCATTGTAATGCAATTGCAACGCAGTAAAAGGTTGCTGCTTGCTGTGACAGGCTGATCAGTTCGGAGGGGTGGGGAAAAGTAAAATGTCTATAATCAAACAATACCTGAATTTAACACAAAGTAAATAAGTTCAACTTGATTTAGAGTATCAAGTTCTCAGAACACTCCTATAAAGTAAAAGCTGCCAGAAAGCATCAGCTAAAGTTAGGAGAAAAAGGCTTTAGTTTATCAATAAGAAAACAAAAAAAAAAATAAGTGCTCAAAATATTTAAGTCTACCTAAACAGAGTTTTAAAACCTTGGATGAAGCCTTAGTCTGAACTGTGTCACCATGGACACAAATTGATTCACTGAGGTGTTGGATCATCCTCTCAGAAATGGGTAAATAATCAAACCTTTTGGTTTAGGAGGCAAGAACAGGCAATACGGCGGACAGCCAAACCAGATGCTGTGTACAGGTTGGGTTACAGGCGGAGGTCTACCGCCACACAATTGGTTCCGAGCTGCAGCATGTCTGAGCAGCGGGCCTTTTTCTGAAGATTCAGAGTTGTACGTCCCCTGCTCTTACACCTTCTCTAAGGACGGCCGACCTGGCTGGAGTTCTGGAAGAAGAAAAGGGTTTGGCGGGCTCACATACTCAAATCCAGGCGGTTCGGGTTCAGAAACCAACTCCAGGTCGTTGGGAGATGACGCTCCTCTTGGGACACGACTGCTAGATTTGGCTTTCGAGTTACCCGGAAGATTTAAGACGATACAGCATCAGACCATCTGATTCCAGCAAAGCAGGCACTACTTTATTACGGAATGAGAACAGGACAAAAGGAAAGCAGCATTTAGTCAGCTGCACTGAGAGACATCTTTCTTAGCATCAAAAATTTATCAGCACAGTATTAAGAAACCATTAGCCCAAACTGGGAGTGGTCAGAGCTGGGGGGAGGGGGATTTTTAAAAAAAATATATTTTTACCTTTCTTCGTGATTGCAACTACAGCCGCTCCACATTAACGAACCAGCGCAGTAACCCCCTCCTTCCCCTGAGGCCAACGAGCCAGTCATCATGTTGGACGAGCTTCTGTACTATTGCGATTAAGGATGCACTGCGGAAGGCTCATAAACGGTCGCGAGGAAGCAGCGCCGTCCAATCAGCACGCAGCAAGTTAATGATGCACAGCTGCTAGGCATTAATCGTGATTATGTTGGATCTTTCCATTCTTCCATCCATTTTCTGTGTTCACTTGGTTCTGTTAAGGGTCTGGTGGTAAATCTTGGGCTCAACTCTTTTTTTTTTACCATTTGAAAATTAGATCTGGACAACATATTGAATGTCAGTCACAATGACATTGTGACTGAAGTGAAATTAACTTGTTAGCATTTATTTTAAGCCATTCTGCTTTCAGTAATGTATTAAGCCTTTCCAAATCCTTTATTCCCACACTTGCCAATACAATATGGATATAAATTTTATTGAGAGAGTGTATTTTGATTTTGAAAGTATAAGATGTTGAACTCTATAAAATTCAAGAAAGGTGCTAAACTGCTAAATCCTAGTAATTAAATGCAAGGTTGTCTCTCGCCACAGGTATTTTCCTCCATGATAAGGACATTGCATTTTCAAGCAAAACACAAAAGCTATGGTTTTCGTAGCTTGAGTAATGGACAAAATTTACTCTTATAAACATTTGTGGGCAGAATGTAGTCAGTCAGGTGGTAAACATTTAGGAACCTGGTGAGAAAAATCAGTTCATACTGAAGAAATCCTAGAAAAGCAAGAATTGTCATGGAAAAGGAAAATAAAAATCACTGAAGGCAATAAATACATTATGGGAGTCTAGGGTTTACCACCACCCTAGACATCTTTGGCAAATTTAAACTGCCTATATGATCAGGTTTTTATTTCTAGTCAAACCCTTTACCGATTCCTCAGCTGGAAGAGGGCACAAGAACTAAAAATGTAACTCCAAATACTTGCATGTAAGGGACAGGTTTGATCCACAAGCCTTCCTAGCACCCTCCAATTTAACTCATCTGTTCCACAATTTGTGAATACATAGTTAAAAAAAGTCCATTATAGCACAAGAAAAATATGTTCCCAATGTGTGTAATCTATAGGAAAATAGATTTTTAGTGGTCAGCATGCAGCCATTGAGCTGTATGCTCACCAACGTGGCCATCGTCCTGCCTCTGGTTTCATCGATGGTAAACGTGTACATGCCTGGAGGATACCTCCTACTCAGCAACACACTCAAGTAGAGGACACCCTTGTCGAAATCGAGCTACAAGTTTGCCTCGTGCCTGTGGGCTACCAATGGCAAATTCATTTAGAGGCAGGACAGGAAGGTACTGGGGAGGAGGGCCTCCATCTTCAGATTCAGAGTTATAGTCTCCTTGTTCATAAGTCCTCTCCTTGTAGGAAGCTTCTCCTGGCTGGAACATGGGAAATGACCCTGGAGGGCTCATGTTGCCAGGACTTTCAGAGATGAAGCTTGATGTCCTGTATATACATCAGATCCACAGAGAGCAGGAATTGGTCTCATCTGAACACTAGGATGAGTGTATCTAGGTTGCTCATCTGTATAAAGCTGTACAGCTCACTTTGTCACACTTGAGAAAGCAGACTCTTCAGCAACATATCCAGGGCCAGTTTCCTCCCTACTGGAACTAAAAGGGTTTGTACCAGAAGCCCCAAGGGTATCCAAGGCTGCAAAGGGAGTTATTAGCACTTTTTTTCTGCTGATAAGGCATGATATTTGTACATGTCCAGGTTGATCAAAAAGTGGATTTACCTTTCTTTGTGGAGTATCCACCCGTCAGTATGACAAGTAGCCACAGTCTATTGAGAAGCATCAGAATAAAATGGTTAATAAAAAAAAATTAAAGTTGAAAGGAGGGGAAAAACAAGAAGCCATAAACCACAAATTAGTTGTTACCTTGAAGAGGCCATGCCAGCCTTCATATTTGATGAGCAGCCTCCTACTGCCTGAATTACATAAACGTGCAAATCGCTGATTTGAGGGAGTCTTTCACTGACCAATCACAGCGTCGCAAGTTAACAGTACGCAGCTGCTAGTCATTAATCCTGATGAAGGTGGAGGCTCAGCCTGAAATGAAAACCCAGATATGGATCAGTTGCTTCCGTCATGTGAATTAAAGAATTTTCCAATTTGCTTCAATTAAATGAAGGAAAACTTCAAACTTTGTGTTTTTAAAGTGTGAGCTCGTGTGCTGAACTGCTTCTTAGAACATATTAATTATCACAGACACTAATTTCTGCTTTTACTCGTCCACGGAGAAAAAAAATGTAGCTATAAATTTAACAAAAGGGTTAGTCTTTGAAACATTTACAAAGGAGTTGTGTAGAGAAGTATTTTACCCCACTTTCATTTGGTTTAACAGGGATTTTTTTATGTACATTTTACTTTTGCAGTTTGATTATCCCTCGCTAAATTTAAACATTAAATTGTGCAAACCTTAAAAGGCTGTGCAACAATGCAAGGTACAAAACTGTCTGTTCTGTTGTTTTTAAATACATAAAAATATAAGATTATTCCATCCATGAAAGAAAATAAAATGTCTGCTAAAGTGAAAATGTGAAAATGTTTGAGTATGAATCAGAGCATATTTTTTTCTGTCATTTTTTTCACAAGAGACTAGCAGGTAGTACAGCTTTCTGAGAAAATCACTGTACTTATTTTTCCCATTGGTAGAGTATCCTTTGTTTTCCCATCCATCCATCCAAAAACTCATCTTTTATTCCAATTTTGTTTTTACACCCTGTTTTGCCTGCTGTGTAAAGTTTGAGAGACTATTTCGCCTTTAACTAAAAAGTGAAAAAAATTATCTTTACTCTTTGAATTTTGAATTATGGGAAACAAATGTGGAATTTTAAAATATATATTTTTTTAATATATTGGTAAATATTGCATGCAAACCTGCAAGTTTGCTACTGCATACAATGCATTTTTTTAGCATCAATGTGACATGGAGAAGAAAGGAAGAAAAACAAAAAACTTCTGACAAATGGAACATTTCCTGTAAATGAACCAAAAAACAAGCATATAAGTAACCTCAATGCGTCTGATTGAGCACATCCCTTCGTTAGGATCTCACTCCTCCATACCCAGCTTGAGACGGTGCCAAATGGGCCACGGTTCTGCATTGTGACAATTTCCGGCTCTTCACATGTGTATTTCCTGGCTTTCTAATCAGAATGCTATTTTGTAACTCAAAAGGGGCTCCTATTCAGCCCCGGCATTAACAGCTCTCGTCTGTGATAACGTGGATGCTTCGGGCCATAGGCCACCAGCTGCATCCACTTGTCACTCTTTGGTACAGATGCCCTGTCTGTCTGCTGCGTGAATGAAACTCATGGACTAAATTGGCACTTATTGTGCCGAATGGTTTTATGCGTGCATTTTTAATGTGCCTCATCCAATTCCTTAACATGTTTAATTTTGTCTGCCGACTGCTACCTCTGATTTGCAAAAAAAAAAAAAAAAAAAAAAAGATTTAGATGGAAAGGCTTTAGTTGGGATTTACGTTCCTTAAGTGGACAACAGAGACCAAATGACAAACGGCTGAAAACTCAAACGCTCCGAAGCCGTTCATCCAGTTCTGTAGGATTTTCTTCTTCTTTTTTTTCTTCTTTCCATGCATCATATTAAGTTTCTTTGCGCAAATCAAATGACGAGAACTCAATTATGACGGATCAATAATTCAGTATTCTCAATTATGCTTTAATTGTGAGAAGCAATATCATCCAATCTTATTGGGAGGATAGGTGTTGTTGCTCTGCAGAGCTTTAGCTGATTGTTTATATGAGATTAGCGCTGTGTATCAGGGAAAAAAAGATCAAGCAATGTCACAGAGCCTTGAATAGCCGGCAAGTGACGCGTGCACAAGACACACTCGGGCGCGCGTTCAAGTACACTCCCCCTCCTCCACTCCCCAATGCGCGCGCACACGCACACTCCTAATGACACAAACACATAACATAAAGCCAAATGCTGCCACTAAAATTTGCATGGTGCTCAGTAATGCATTAGTGAACATCACTTGGCAATCTGTTCATACGGGCTTAATTGGATTTTAATACCGCCTCTGATCTTGTTTTCTAATTAACGGCGGTGGCTGGCAACCAAGCAGAACCATGCACCCAGCAACACCTTTGATCCCGGCCATATGGAGTTCCTCCAAGCACGCCGGGGATGTAAAAATCCCTCACCTAGACGTGGGCGAACAACAAGCCCCCCGAATCAAAATGGATGGGGCGAAGAGAATGAAGACGGGGGGTGAAGAAACGGGGGAGTGTGGCAAGGTTGAGAAGGGGGGCGCAGGAGGCAGCAGTGTGGGGGTTGTGGGGGTGGGTAGGCAACGGCATGTGTCATCCACACATCGTGGCAGCGTTGGTATTGATTAATTTCTCTCACGATCGGTTATGATCGCAGATACATAAAACATGAGTAGGGGGGTTTTGGGGGCGAGGGGGTGCTGAATGCCTGTACACCTTATCATCCATGCTGCCATTCGACACCCCTTCATTGCTACAGGGAAATGTCAATAGCTTTCCTAATCTGTTTACTTCTCCCCTTGTGGCCACTGCTTTATGCTTTAGATGAAGGGCTGCCAAAAAAAAGTGTCCTATTTTACCCTTGCTTTTCCCGTTTTGGCAGACATTGCGTGGGTATTAACTTCATGTCGGCATATTCGCTTCTCAAGTTATTCTTATTTGAATGTATATGGAGTAAAGATTCAGTGCAGGCTTATATATATATATATATATATATATATATATATATATAATTCTAAAATTTCTGTACACTTGGACAGATAAAGCCTCAATATAAACAATCATCAATCAATCAAGTTTATTTGTAAAGCACATTTTGGTAGCAAGGCGGTTCAAGGTGATTTACATAATAAAAACAACAACAAAAATACAAAGTTTTAAAGAAAACACCACACAGTCAACAATTGAACAAGCATTACATGTTGATGATCTCCATCACCAGAAACATACTCAGCAAATATGTTGGTCAATGTTTCATTTATTAAAAGCAAAAAAAAAAAAAGCAAATCCAACCAGGTGGGGGTTTTAGTCTTGGTTTAAAGGAACTCAGTGTTTCAGCTGTTTTGCAGTTTTCTGGAAGTTTGTCATCATCTGCAACAATTTGGTATCCATAAAGTACTGAATTGAAGCTGTCGATCAAAAGTATGATGGAAAACCCATTGTACAAATTGTACATGTAACTGTAAAAAATAAAAAAGGCCAGGTTTTCGGAAAATATTTTCAAATACTTTATCAAAAACCAAAGTACACAGCAGAGAAAAAACAGCAACTTTTTAAAGATGTGTGAACATTTGCAATTCACTGTAATCTGAGATAATACCACCTTATATTTGTGTCTTGTCGGTGGTTGTTTGGCGGGGTCTGTGCGCCATGACTCTGTCAGGCCTCTGCTGGGCAGTGGCGTGCCCTTGGGTCTCAGGTCTCTGTGTCCAGGGCTGGATCTGATCCAGCGTAGCCGGTTGCGGCGGAGTGTGTGGGCTCGTCTCTGCGGCCTCCTGGGGTTTCTGCTGGTTGCTTCCTCCAGGGCTCTAATCTGCTCCTTTCTGCCTCTGGTCTTTGGGGGGGTGTTGTAGGTTTGTGGCTCCTCACACCTGCTATTGAACATTCTTATGGGGAAACCTTATATACACAAGCGTGCTCACACACAGACACACACACACACATTTGTGTTGCTATCTTTGTGGGGACTTTCCATTGACTTCCATTCATTTCTACAGCCTAAACCTTACCTTTACCCTTTTCCTAACCCTAACCATCACATACCTAACCCTAACCCTAACCAAAACTAATTCATACCTTATCCCTAAATCTGACCCCTGACCCAAAAACAGGGTTTCCCCTTGTGGGGACCAGGCTCCGGTCCCCACAAGGAGCAATTGGTCCCCACAACGTAGTATATGTCAGGAAAATCGTCCCCACAAGGGATTACAAACAAACGCGCACACACACGCAGACAGGTGTTTGGATTCAGGTGTTTACAGATACACTCCATGTGGCTGCTGTTCCCACTAAATACATCTTGTATTAATTTGTACCTTGTACTTTTCAGTGATGCTGCTGTTGCTGTTGTGTTTGCTACATATCCATATGTTGTTGTGATTTCTCAGCTCTCTGTTTTTCTCTCTTTCTGCAGATGTAGAAGCAGACTTCCAGGGTATCGTCTTGTGTTCTCTGTATGCTTCTTTCTCTCCTCTAAGTTCCTTCTTTCTTTTTAAACATTTTCCACACCTTTCTCATTTACTTTTTTAAAACTCTTTTTCCCTTTTATTTATCTCTGTGTGTTGCATTTGAAATAACAGCAAAGTTTACTTCTCCCCTTGTTTCACATTTATATCAAGCAGAACATTATAGAGAAAATTTGTGAAAGTAATTCTGTTGAGCCTCACCTTGGCACTTAGATAATGATTCTGAGTGCCACATACCAAAAGCCAACACAAATACAAATGAGTTGAGATTATATGGCACTTTACAACTAAAAATGTTTTAAAAAAACAACTTTTTTTAAGTCAGTATTTTTTTAAGATAACTTTTTACCTCAGCTTTGTAAACCTTCTACCACTTCCTTCTTCAAAAGAAGTGGTAGTGGTAGTGGATAATTTGTGGAAAATATGTAGATTTGCCTTTGTCAATTTTCAAAGAGGAGGTGGGTGTTGATTGTTGATTTTCAATCTGTGGAAAGTTTTCTAATCTAGTGAAAACCCAGGACAAACTCTTACTTTTGTAACCAAACACATTCCCCAGATGAAGTCCATCCTGCAAATCTAAACTACAATGCAAATATTTTCCTACCAAAATGATCAGAAACATATTAATCAATTGTGTTTTTTTAAGAGTTGACACATTGTCTAGATTTTCACTGTGTCACATCCTGGGCAGATAACAGAAACATTCCCCTTGTCCAAAACTAGCTACCAATTTCCAACTGAGTTATAAATATGCTAAACATAATTTTACATCCCGTTGCACAAATTGTCTCATTCAGCGCCATTGA